AGAAACGGGCGTCTAACTTTCGACTCGAAATCTGATCAAGCGAATTTTACAGGCTGGATACACACGCTGGCAGAAAGGTTGAAAATTTCCGTGGAGAACGTAACGCACGCGGAAAGTTACATCACGGCGTTGTACTTTACTTGCAGTAGCTTAACGTCAGTAGGATTTGGAAACGTGTCGGCCAACACATTCTCCGAGAAGTTCTTCTCCATTTGCACGATGCTTATTGGTGGTCAGTAGTCATCATCGAATCAATATGTCGTACATTATTCCGTAAGGATTATCAATTAATTGCTCGGTAATCAACTATATCAGTTGCTGCGCGCACGTGCTTTGTTAAATCACTTTTAATCAAGGATTCGCATACACGTGAATTAGAGGCGAATGATGTTAATTAATACGGAATAAATTTGAATGGCAAAATTTACAATAGGGACTATTTCCACATTGTACATGTCGTGTATGCTACAGCTCTGATGCATGCCGTGGTGTTTGGTAACGTGACAGCGATTATTCAAAGAATTTACTCTAGAAGATCGCTATACCAAACAAAACTGCGGGATCTCAAGGATTTTTTCGTATTGCATCAGATCCCCGAAGAACTGAAACAGCGAATGCAAGACTATTTTCAAACTATGTGGTCGTTGAATCACGGTATCGACATATACGAGGTAAACTATGCAAACTGTGTGATCCAGGTGCTCGTAACGAAAACGATCCTCTTCCAGAAAACCAAACGAGCACACTCTCAGCATACTTGATACATCGGTTCGATGCATCTCAACGTTTTATGCAACTGTTTTAATCAATGATGAGATTATAAGAAACAGCTGATGAGACTAAATAGACTGTGGATTTTCTTGCATTTCTTGCACGAAATACGAAATTTTCTTAAAGTTACCTAATTATGTTGTGACTTACTTGTCAAAATAGAAATAGCTATTTTTAATTTAATAAAAAAAAATATGTATAATTCAGACTCCACGATACGTTAGTGTTTGGAGAGTAGAAAAATTTAGCAAGGATCGCTTTAGATTACGAGCACCATCCTCACCCTACGATATTACCAAACGCGTCACAGTTTTGCACATATTAATCGCAATAATATGCAAGATTTCGACACGTTTTAGACGCTGAAGCAATTTCCCGAGGAACTGCGGGGAGACGTTTCCATGCACTTGCATCGCGAAATACTAAATTTACCGATATTCGAAGCCGCTTCCCAGGGCTGTCTGAAACTGCTCTCTCTTCGCATTAAAAATAATTTCTGCGCCCCCGGCGAGTTTCTGATTCACAAAGGGGACGCGCTTTCCTACATATATTACTTGTGCAACGGCTCGATGGAAGTTGTGCAGAACAACATGGTCGTCGCGATCTTAGGTACGACTTGTGTGTACATTAGCCGCAACGTTTCTCGAACTTGTTTTCGCGAAATTTGTCGCGAAGCGTAGGAGAGGCAGAGCGAAATCACAAACACGGCGTTCGATTTCGTTTAAAGGGAAAGGCGATCTGGTAGGCTGTGACATAAACGTTCACCTGCAACACGGCAGTAACGGGGGTGGAACAGGTGGCGGTGGGGCCAGCGACGTCGTAGTGAAATCCAGTTGCGACGTTAAAGCGTTGACTTATTGCGACTTAAAGTGTATAAATATGCATGGATTAGTCGAGGTGCTTCGGCTGTATCCCGAGTATCAACATGAATTTGCAAACGATATACAGCACGATCTCACTTACAATTTACGAGAGGGATACGAAGCCGAGGTGATTACCAACAGTGTCGACAATTGCCAAGCTTTCTGGAAAATGGATCAACGAGCCTTTAATAAATATAAAGCCGCACTCGTAGATCCTTTGCAACAGGATATACCAATTTTATTCAAATGTGTCAATCAATGGCAAATTAATGGCTGGAAATTTTATAAACTTGAAACACTGGTATATATACATTTTTTTTATATATAATTAAATATGAAGTCGTTGACTTTAATTACGAAGAGTTACTCAAACAGCAAGATAGTTTCATAGACTTTGACGATTGTAAATTTCATTGCTGTGTCTTAATCTCAGGAATGCCTAATTGCATCTAAATCATTGCCAATTAGAAGAAAAATGGTATCTAAAGTCCATGATGATCGATTAAAAAATTGACGTTTCCCACACAGTTTAATCAATCCGTCATTCCATATCGTAGATCCATTTTCCAGTTTTAGTAAGAATAGAAGCAAAAAGAGAGTAACAAATTTTTCTTCGTGATCCACCTTCAGCAAGAGTCAGACATGAACGGACCATCGTTAACATTGCCATCGATCAGCGAGGACGACGAAAATGTGCCTGACGAAGGGGAGACTTCGCCTCTATCACCACCAAACAAATCGCCTTCGCATATGTCGAGCCCCAGGCATGCTAAGTTTAGGTATGTTTGTCACACCAAACATATCTTTTTGCTACCGAAGATAAATCCTCAAATATTCCACGTCGCATGCGACAGAGACGAATACAGAGAGGCTAGAAGACCCGGAAGAGGAGTTCTGGTTAGAGGAAGAACAGCTCAAGTAATCGCTCAAGAATCGATGGAGGAACATATCCGAGGATCAGTGGAGAAACTCGACACACAATTTTCTACGTTACATCAAGACGTTGCCACGCTGAGCTGTGAGGTAAATGTTGTGGAAAACCTGTTCGTTTAACCCGTAACTGATAAGGTGCAATATACATGTTCGAAATTGTAAGAATTTTTATTTCATTTTAACTAACAGCTGTCGTTCTTAATAACTGTCGTTCTACACTTAATAATAATCGATTCGTACCTTTCATCAAAAAATTCTACGCAGTCTGTGAAACTCTAGAAATTTTTATTCTTGTGACAATTTAGAAAGTACGTGCCATAAACTGTACATACGCACTATATTCAATCAATAATGTATTAATTTGTTTTACGCAGTCTATGAAACTCTAGAAATTTTTATTCTTGTAGCAATTTAAAAAGTACGTGCCATAAATAGTACATACGCACTGTATCCAATCAATAATGTATTAATTTGTTTTACTGTCTTATTTACGCACTGTATCCAATCAATAATGTATTAATTTGTTTTACGCAGTCTATGAAACTCTAAGAATTTTTATTCTTGTAGCAATTTAAAAAGTACGTGCCATAAACTGTACATACGCACTGTATCCAATCAATAATGTATTAATTTGTTTTACGCAGTCTACGAAACTCTAGGAATTTTTATTCTTGTAGCAATTTAAAAAGTACGTGCCACAAACTGTACATACGCACTATATCCAATCAATAATGTATTAATTTGTTTTACTGTCTTTCGCGGATGAATCAAACAGCTTATTTATTCCACTAATTCAGAATTTTTCCCCTTTAAAAAATTTCGATACATTTATTTCTATATTCTCTAAATCATTCAACGAACATCTCATGAACGAAATTCCACAAATATTAAATATTTAATACTCCAATATTAATGGTACAATAAATATTCCAGTATTTTCGAACACGTGTATTGCAAATCCGATATGTGTGATGTATCATGAAAGGATTCTGTAATCTGATGTAGGTATTTAATAGGAAACAATCATTTTACGTTTCCTCTGCGTTACAATTATCCAATGATTTCACGAACATGTAGGATCATTCAAAATTTAGTAACTAAAAACGCTGCTAAATAATGTTTGCCAGACATTGATTTAAAGCTCAAAGCTTGTCGAACGCAACACGACCAATGATTTGTCAATTATTCAGTATCAAATGTATCAAAACGAATAAATTAACTCGCAGTGCACTTGTTGCAAAACTTTAAATATCGATCAACGATGTATTAATTGCATCTAGGTTTTCTACACTGATAAAACAGCCGTAAAATGTTGTCTACCATTTGAGTAAAGAATTTAGATACAGGCATGGAAAATTTTTTTTAATAAAAATTAATTTAAACTTTATAATAATCGAAGTACATGTAGAAACTATCGCAGAAACCTATCTATTTCAGAAAAGCTATAAATCTTGAAATTTATATTCAGAATACAGAATATGCCCCCTTCATTTGCAACTTATAAGCGATATCTGGTTGTTCATTAACTAACATAAATAATATTTTCGTAATGCTGTTTCGTAATGCTGTGAGAATCGAATATTTACTCGATACATACTGACGAAACATCAGTTACGGGGGATGAATGAAATTATCAAAGCTTCTAACTAACGTTCCTCGATTATTTCGCCTGAAAACAGGTCAGGAATGCCATTCAAGCTCTCCAAATACTAGCGTGCTCGCCTCAAAGTAATCCAAATTTACCGACACCCGCGAATCGTGGTAGCGGCGTTTTGGCAAGAAGTTCGTCTCATCCGCCAGATGCTATATGCTGGGATCCGCCCAAAAGAATGTCAGATGCATCCACGCAAACCGACTGGCCTGTCGATCTCTTTGAAACTTGGATTCGAGCGAATCCTCAAAGAGTTCTCAGGATTCTTGAACTCGATGCTGATACTCTTTTGAGGCAACCACCTTCTCCGACACCGTCTCCGTCTTCTCCCCCGCCGCCACCTTACGAGCCACTCTCACCTGTTGTTGGGACACCGCCGCAATCACCGTCTCTCGCCCAAGGTAAACACCTCCGTCTTTTTTTTTTTTTTTTTTTTTTTTTTTTTTTAATCAAAAACTAA